CTATTCTATTTATTTTATTCGTATTACGTTGTGATTATTACGCTTTGATAATTTTTGATCCCATTCCGCATTGAGCTAATATTATTTAAGTCAATTTGGATCCGTCTTATTTTACAACAATTGGTATCAGAGCATCCAGGTTGTGATATTAGCTCATTGGGATCATTTTATCAAGTAATTAATCATGTCTTCGGTAAAATACGATATTCCACTACTGGATCGTAACACCCGATTTCTGTTGTGGCAAGTAAAGATGAGAGACATTCTCATTCAGATGGATTTACACAAGGCGCTCTTGGGTTTCAATATGATGCCCGATACATGGACCGAAGAAGAAAAGGAGATGAAAGATCTGAAGGCTTTATCCCAGATTCGTTTGCACTTGTCAAAGGATGTTTTGCAAGATGTTCTAAAAGAAACGTCAGCGGCTTCTTTATGGCTAAAGTTGGAGCAACTGTTGATGACCAAGAGCTTACCAAACAAGTTGCATTTGAAGCAACGGTTGTTCAATCTCAAGATGATTGAAGGAGGCTCTTTAGCTGAACATATATCCACATTTAAAGAGTTAGTAAATAACTTAGAGAATATGGATGTTCAGTATGAAGATGAAGACTTGGCTCTATTCTTACTATCGTCGTTGCCAGAATCCTATAGCCATTTTCGTGATACTATTATCTATAGCCGTTACACTCTAGTTTTAGATGAAGTCTATACAGCTTTGGATTCCAAAGAGAAGATGAAGCATATTACTGGTGGTGGTTCAAGTGATGCTAAAGCCGAAGGTTTGAATGCCAGAGGAAGAACAACAGAGAGAAGTAGAACTTCTCAATCTTCCAATAGAACTAGATCCAAGTCAAAAGGCAAACGAAAGTTTTGCAACTATTGTCACAAGAAGGGACATGTGCTTGAAGAATGCTTCAAGTTGAAGAATAAAGAAAAAGAGAAGACGAAAACAAATGGCAAACAAGCTAGCACTTCGGGTGAAGCCGATGTAGCTGAGGTTGAAGGTATTGGAGAACTTTTGACAGTTTATTCAGATAAACTGGATTCCACTGGTGATTGGATACTCGACTCTGGTTGTACTTTTCATATGTGTCACAACAAAAGTTGGTTTTACACATTTGAAAAGGTTAACCAGGGCTATGTGTTGATGGGTAACAATACTACATGTCCAGTTCTTGGACATGGTTCAGTCAGGATCCGTATGTTTGACGGAGTTATTCGAACCATGGGGGATGTTAGATATGTTCCTGACCTCAGAAGAAACTTGTTATCTCTCAGTTCCTTTGACAAAAAGGGATACGAGTTTGCTGGTAAAGGTGGAGTTCTCAGGGTATTCAAAGACGGTTCCGACAAACTGAGAGCCAAACGAAAAACCTCAGATCTTTACTTTCTTGACGGGCAAACAATTTCGAGTGATGCTGCTGTTGTTTTAAAGTCTCTTTCTGATCCAGATCAGTCCCGTCTTTGGCACCTTCGACTCGGCCATATGAGTTTTCAAGGCATGTTAGAATTGAGTCGAAGAGGTTTACTTGGTCAACAAAAGATTGTTGATTTGGATTTCTGTGAAGACTGTGTATATGGCAAGGCAAAACGAGTAAGGTTTGCAAGTGGTATCCATACAACGAAAGGACCACTTGATTATGTTCACTCGGATTTGTGGGGACCGGCTCGATTTGCTTCAAAAGGTGGAGCTATTTATAGGCTCACTATTATTGATGATTTCTCCAGGAAGGTGTGGTCTTTCTTCTTAAAACATAAAGGAGACGTTTTCTCTACCTTCAGAAATTTGAAAGTTCAGGTTGAAAAGCAATCAGGTCTGGTGTTAAAGTATCTTCGTACGGATAATGGACTTGAGTTTTGCTCAGAAGAGTTAATGTCTATTGTCAAAAGGAAGACATTACTCGACATCGCACAGTAGTCCATTCACCTCAACAAAATGGTGTAGCTGAAAGGATGAATCGCACCATTATGGAGAAGGTCCGGTGTATGCTTTCTAATTCCAAATTGCCAAAGTCTTTTTGGGCGGAGGCTGCTTCGACTGCTTGCTATGTTATCAACCGATCACCGTCACGAGCAATCGAGAAGAAAACTCCGTTTGAGTTATGGTCCGGTAAACCTGCCAATTATTCAGATTTAAAACCATTCGGATGTCCAGCGTATGAACGAGTTGACAATGGGAAGCTAGAACCAAGAGCAATCAAATGCGTTTTTCTTGGGTACAATCAAGGTGTAAAGGGTTACAAGTTATGGAGCTTTAATTTGAAGAAAATTATCATCTCAAGAGATGTTACTTTTGATGAGTCTGCTATAATTCAACCAGTTGCTGACTCTTCTAGAAGAACAGATGTATCATCCGAAGCAAATAAAGAGAATGCTCAAATGGAGGTGGAGCTTCCTACTTCACCTACCACTAATCAGAGTACAAATCAGCATCAAGATTCTTCTTCGTCGGATGAGCATGCTGTTGGTGAAGATTCAACACTTTCACAACCACAAGCTACTACTCCAAGCATTGCAAGAGATAGACCGAGAAGACAGATTATTCCTCCGAAGAGGTATGTTGAATCTGATTTGGTTGCCTATGCTTTTATTGTTGCTGATAATATTGAGTCCGCAACGGAGCCTGCGAATTATGACGAGGCTATCAAATCTGAAGACTCAAATGATTGGATGCTCGCTATGCAAAATGAGATGGAATCCTTGCAGCGAAACAATACTTGGAATTTAGTTCCTATTCCGAAAGGGAAGAGACCAGTTAAATGCAAGTGGGTCTACAAACTCAAGGAACCTGTCAACCCAAATGATAAACCAAGATACAAAGCTCGGTTAGTAGCTAAAGGCTACAGTCAGATTCCTGGTATTGATTACACTGACATTTATTCCCCAGTTGTCAAACATACTTCCATTCATGTATTGTTGGGGTTGGTTGCTTCTAATGATTTTGAGTTAGAACAACTTGATGTCACTACAGCTTTCCTAAATGGTGAGCTTGAGGAAGACATTTTTATGCAACAACCTAAAGGTTTTGTAGTTCCTGGAAAGGAGAACTACGTATGCAAGTTGAACAAATCTCTTTATGGCCTCAAGCAGTCTCCTAGACAATGGTACAAGAGGTTCGATTCTTTCATGACCAGTCACAAATTCAGCAGGTGCACCTATGATAGCTGCGTTTATTTCAAGAAAGGTGACAATGGTTCAAAGATCTACTTACTCTTGTACGTGGATGACATGTTGATTGCAGCGAAAGATATGAAGGAGATTCAGAAGTTAAAAGACCAGTTGAAAGCTGAATTTGAAATGAAGGACTTAGGAGCTGCAAAAAAGATTTTAGGTATTGAAATTATTCGTGACAGGAAGTCTAGGATCTTGCATCTTTCTCAGAAAAGTTATATTGAGAAAGTCCTAAGACGCTTCAGTATGCACGAAGCAAAGTCTGTCAACACACCTTTTGCAGCTCATTTCAAGCTATCATCCGCTTTGAGTCCTACTAATGAGACTGATATGGCTTACATGGCACGTGTTCCATACTCTAGTGCTGTTGGATCTTTGATGTATGCTATGATCTGCACGCGCCCTGATTTGGCTTATGCTGTTAGCATGGTTAGTAGATACATGGCGAACCCGGGGAAAGAACACTGGAAAGCAGTACAGTGGATTTTTCGTTATTTACGCGGTACATCTTCTATGTGTTTACGTTTTGGTAAATCTAACACTGGGGTGTTCGGATATGTTGATTCAGATTATGGCAAAGATTTGGATAAACGAAGATCAATTACAGGGTATGTGTTTACTCTAAATGGTTGTGCTGTTAGTTGGAAAGCCCAGTTACAGTCTACAGTTGCCCTGTCTTCTACCGAGGCAGAGTACATGGCGATTACAGAAGCAGTTAAGGAAGATATCTGGTTGAAGGGGTTATTTGGAGAACTCGATGATAGAATAAAGGTGACCATAGTTTTCTGTGACAACCAAAGTGCTATCTTCTTGAGTAAAGATCAAATGTTTCATGACCGAACAAAGCATATTGATATTCGTTATCATTTTGTGCGGGACATCATTGAAAAAGGTGATTGTGTTGTGGACAAGATTCATACAGATTATAATCCCGCTGATATGTTCACTAAAAGTCTTCCTATAGCCATGTTCAAATTATGTTTGGACATGGTGGGTGTTTCTGATCGCAGTTGAGCCTGAAGGCTCGTGGTGGAGGAAGTATTATTTATTTTTCGGAAACAATTTTTTCTCTATATAAAATTTGCAGGTTCTTATGGAAGTTTTAGAGTTTGGTGAGCTATAGGTTTTGACTAATCGTAAAGCATGACTTGCTTAATTTTGATGTCAAGGTGGAGATTGTGGAAAAGTTGCCTCCAAAATTAGCAAGTGGCAAATAGTTCAGGGGTTATTTCAGTAATTTATCATTTACTATTCATAGTTTGACTATGAATAGTAATATATATGTGAATTTGAATAATTGGACGGCACATTTTGGACGCCTACAATTTGACTATGAAAAGTAATGTAATGTTTGAACGGCGAACTTTTTGGTCAAATGTTAGGCGCCTAACATTACCTAACATTGCCTACAATTGGACGCACAAAGTTGGACGGCATTTTTTCCTTTCATATGATATTCTTTTTGGCTATAAATAGCCTGAGCCAGAGAGATTTAATATAATCATCCAAGTATATATAAAAAAAAGCATTACATATATATACTAATACACCACCGTGTATTTTAGCTCTCCCACTCTATTTTGTAATCTCTTTCATAATCCCTGTAAACACTGCAAATTATAGTGAATTGTTTCTCGGCGGAGGTTCCTCCGCCCGTGGTTTTTTCCCGATTTGGGTTTCCACGTAAATTCCTGTGTCTCTATTCTATTTATTTTATTCGTATTACGTTGTGATTATTACGCTTTGATAATTTTTGATCCCATTCCGCATTGAGCTAATATTATTTAAGTCAATTTGGATCCGTCTTATTTTACAACAGAACTAAAATGTCAAAATGGTATGCAGTTTCAGCTCCAACAAATGTCCAACACGCAGTCACATTAGTTATAACCAAGCCCATAAACAAGGACCAGCACAAGAACTTGCATAGAGCTTCTCTGAAGGGGGATTGGTCTGAAGCAGAATCCATACTAAAAAGCAATAAAGATGTAGTGAAAGAGGCAATCTGCAATGACGGCAGCACAATACTTCACATAGCAGTTGGAAAAGGTGATAAGGGTTTCATACAAAACTTAATTTCATATATAAATGTTGCAGACGTACTTGTAAAGAGAAGTTCCGATGGAAGCACAGCCCTTCACATTGCTGCCATTGTTGGGAACACATATGCAGCCGATCTCTTGGTTAAGAAAAACAAAAACTTGTTGCAAATTAAAGACCATAAAAATCAAGAAGCATTGCATAAAGCTTATGAATATCTGCATCTTGATACCATTGAATATTTGTCCAAAGCCACTGAAGATTGGGCTGATGTTGAAATAAGCGTTGACCTTCTTGTTAATGTTATTTCTGGAAATCAATACAGTGAGTAGCTGGCATATCTCTTAATTACCAATATACTATGACAAATTAGAGACATATTGCTTTAAATATTCAAACTTTTTATCGCTTATGCTTGCAGATTTAGCGTCAAAATTAATCAAAAAGTTTCCCAACTTGGCTGTGCAAAATGATGAAGTACTCATGGCTATAGCTAAAAGTTTTCCAAGTGGGCTAGGCTACTGGGAAGCACTTCTCTATCCATGTAAGTTTCTAATGTATTAGAAATGTTTTTTTTATTAGTTTTTTCCAGTTATTTCTAAAGGCGATTGATTGTTGTTTTTCTATTTTAGCTTTGGGGACTATCTGGAAAACGATATTGTCTACAGGTGCAATGCTTAATTATACCTGCATTGTGGTCACCCCTGGTGATGATATATAATTGTTTAGGGATCATGTCGTTAACACATGTCAAAATGTCATTAGGTGAGCTATTTGTAACCAGTAATTATAATTCAAGGATTTCTAATATACTTTAAACTCAATGTGAGTTATATTTTTCTAATACGTTTTTTGTGCTTCTGCAGTTCCATTAAGAATACTTCTTTTCGTCTATCAGTTGATATACTTCCTCATATTGATGATTTGTTTCCTATTCCTTGTGCTCTATTATGCCTTGTGGATGGCAACAGTGATAACACGTAATAGCATATGGACTCAATCCACTCGTTGACAATTTGGTTTGAGATCTAATTAATTTCTAACAAATCATTTTTTTAACTAATAATAATTTTCTAATTAATTTGCAGCCTTTAAGCACATGAAGAAGAAAAAGGAGTGGGAAGAAGCAAAAAGGGTTTTAAGATTGGTATGTGATGAGATTGACAAGTTAGAGATTGCTGCTACACGTAATTCTTTTTACAACAGAACAATTATTGTGGCTGAATGTCAAGGTGCATATAAGGTTGTTGATGAGATTTTGTTTAGATCACCTGAAGCAATTCAGAGTACAGATGAAAAGGGGCATGACATCATTCAGTTAGCTGTTTTACACCGTTCAGTTAAAATCTACAACCTTATTTATGACGATGTGGAGCGAAAGAATCTTTATAAAAAGTTACTTGATTCTTCCAAGAATAATATGTTGCACTTGGCCGGGAGGTTGGCACCTTCACATAAACTGGATCAAAGATCAAATCCCGCATTACAACTACAAGGAGAACTTCAATGGTACATGGTATGTAATATATAAATAAGTCATTAATCGTAATATATATAAGTGAATTTTATGTATGGTTTTTTTCAACGGTAGACCACCATGAATTCAAATGAGGCGTGCAACTCCATTTTGGAGTGCGTAGATCCCTAGTGATCACTATTATGCCATCTTGGTGGTGGTGAATTTTTTATATAGTTAGTATCATAAATGTGTAGCGAACTATTTGAAATGTTCAAGCATACCATTGTTTTTAAAAAAGTTCTATCACAATGTAAGCATCTAGAAGTTTTGTTAACAAAATATCATTATTTTAATAGTGTTGAATAGGACATTTCAGTTGCTTACCTTATAATAGTACTTCTTCAAAACAATGATGTTTGTAAAAAATAAATATAGTACGTTAATCATTTACGACATTAAAGCTTTTTTTTATATAGTAGCATAAACAAGTAAAACTAAATCTATAGGAAGTGAAGAAACTTGTGTTTCCTACATACATCACACAAGAGAACAATTCTAAGGAGACACCGGATACAGTGTTCACAAGGGAACACGAAAACTTGCTGAATGCAGGAGAAAATTGGATGACATCCACAGCAAAGTCAGGCAACATCATTGCAGCACTAATTACAACAATCGTATTTACAGCAGCTATTACTGTTCCAGGTGGAAGCAATGCAGAAGGGGTTCCTGTGTTGAAAGATAGCACTGCCTTCACCATTTTTCTTATAGCAGATGTAATCTCACTATGTGGATCCAGTACTGCGATACTAGCGTTCACATCGATCATAATTGCACCTTTTGCTGAAAAATATTTTCTAAATGCTCTTCCAATCAGAATACTTCTCGGTCATTTCTCTTTGTTCCTCTCAACAACTTCAATGATGGTAGCCTTCAGCGCAACAACTTACCATGTCTTTTATGATGAAAACCCATGGAAGATTGGACCACTATGTGCACTAGCTGAACTTCCGATTATATATTTTATTTCTCAAGAAATCCCCATGATAGTAGTTCTAATATGGTCGACCTATGTAAGCATCTTTGGGAAGCGAAGGAAAAGTGCTTACATCAGATTTCATCCGGACAAGTTAAGATTGTATCTTGCTCTCTGATGACACATCTTGGGATAATGTATATTGTATGCTATTGTGATGGAGGGTGTAAATGGAAACAATGAAAAACATGTTATTTTGCATCATGATAGTCTATTCACATAAAATTATTATTGCATGCATGTTACATGTGCTTTCGACTTCTTTGAGTTTCTGTATCAGAGTAAAAAACAAAAATTGCAATTTGATATATGTTAATTTGTAGTTATAATCCTGCTACAACTTTTCTTGACATTGTTTTCCAAACTGAATGGATATCGTACCCAAATTATCATCTTTCAATTAAACCACATAAAATTCGGCAACTTGGAGATGGATTAACTTAAAGGGTGAAATCCAAAAAACCACCAATTAAGGGTGCTTTGGTTGGTAGATTTTTTTTGGAAGGAATTTGGAATTTATTAAAGGGAAATTGAATTCATTGGATTAGTGAATACAAATGGAATTCACTTTAGCATTTTCGTAAATATATAGGACGTGTTTAACACGAAGCGTTTGGAAGCTTCTAGTTGTACCGTTTCACAAAACGCCCCGTTTTGAACAAAAAGCCTCATTTGACACTATAAGCTTTTAGTGTTTAGTTTAAACAAAACGTCACAAATCTAAAAGCTATCTCACGTAACATTTAACAAAACGCTATCAGCTATCTGCTACTCGCTACCCGCTACATGCTGCCAATTATTTTTGCCGAATACGCTCGTAGTAAATTGCAAATTTATCCTTTCTTTCTCTATCCCTAAACTACTTAGATCGACCTTAGGCCTAGGAAGATGCATGAGCATTAATCGCTTCTAGTATATAAGCTTTAAGACAAATAGGGCAACTTATGTCGCCACTAATACTATCAAACGTCGCCATTATTGCCTCTTGCAGCGACATGTCGCCACTAATACTTGTCATCGCTCTTGGTGTCGCTGCAATTACGATTGTGTCGATGTGTCGACATTGATGGTGTTGCCATTAATACTTTTTGTCCTATTGTTCTTGCCGCTCGTTATAGTGTCGACTGTATTGCCTAATGTTGTCCTTCGTTAATTTCGTCACTGTTGCTAATTTTATTAATATTAAAATAATAAATGCCAAAAAACAACTGCGATAAATGTAGAAACATAATAATAAATGTAGTAAATACATAAAATAACATATTATATACACAACGAATAAAATAATACAAAATTCATAATATATGTTAAACATATTTATTACAAAAAAATATCTTTGAAACATTAAATAATAATAAAACTACTTGGATGTGCCGTATCCTCGCCCTCCTCGTAATTCTCCTCGTTATTGCCTCACTATCATTTTGGGTCGACAACGATCAAATCATTTCTGAAAGTCTCACTTTAGATGCGGAATTACTAAGAATAATAACATCAAGAGGATCTAGATAAAAATTAAATATGTACACATTAATAAATAAGGTAAAACAACAAACTAAAATAAACCAAACTACCAAAATACTAAACTACAAAATTACCAAATTACCATACTACTAGAATATCAACACAAACCAAAATATCAAATCAACAATTACGAAACTACTAAACTACTAAACTACCAAAGTATCAACATAAACTAACTATGTAACACTCGGTTTCAGATTTGCCTTGTTGCTTGGGGCTGCGGCCCAATCATTAGTTGTCATGGGGTTTATGGCTTCGGGAAAGGAAGGATTTAGCCCATTTCGGATGTAGTTGTCATGGTTAAGTGATCCATGTATTCGATTTTGTCTTCGGAAGCCAAAGGTATGACTGTCAATTGATATCTCGGTCTTTTATGTGTTTTGGGTTTCGTTCGGAAGGTTTTAAGGGTTAGGGGTATTGCTGGGAGCGTGGGGCTTCTCGCCACTTTTTCGTGGATATAAGGTTCGTTGGAAACGGACCTAGGATGAGTGAGTTATGGCATTTTCAAGTTATTCATAGAATTGACCCTTGGATGGAAAAGCTTGCAAATCAGTCCCATGCATGCAAGGATGCATGCGTGTGTTTAGCTGGGTACGCCCAACGTAAGTTGGGGTATGCCCAATGCATAAAGATAAATGGTCGCGGGTGGTTCTTAAGTACGCCGAGCGTACTAAGGGGTACGCGGGGCGTACTCCCTTCAGACCAAAACCCTAATTTCGGGGTTTCTACCATATATAAGCAACATTATACCATTCCTTAGGTCATTTTATGTCAACCATCACCCCTTCTTACGTCCATAAAACCCTAGATTGCCTTGGATGAAGCTTGGAGCTTGAAAGAAGACGTTTGGTGGTTTGTGCAAGAGGAGAAGGAGGTGAAAGACTCAACCTATGGAGAAGAGCTTGGGGATCCAGTGCTAACATCTCCATTTCGAGACTTTCAAGGTATAAAGTCTCTATCTTGGCTATTCATTTCATAGATCTACTTTGGGTTGGTTCTTGGTCATTTTAGTCCCTTTTGCTTGGTCTTGGTAAGCTAGGGCCGTTTTAGGGGCTCAATCTTGTAGATCTGGACATTCTAAGGTTCCCTCTCTCATAAATGTGCAAGCTTTATGGAGAGTGTGAGTTCAATCATGAATTAAGACCATCCATTAAGCTCTTTTGAGCTCTAGAGTCCCACTAAGCCATACATGTTAGTAAAGTTGCCAACTTTACTTGAAAAGTCACCTTAAGGGGTCAAACTGGAGAGTTAGAGTAAGGGCTGAAGTGATTAAGTGCTTATTGGAGAAGTTTGGAGTATAGGGGAGTATGTTGGGCGTACCCACCTGGTACGCGACACCTACTAGCCCCAACAGGTGTACGCTTAGCGTACCGGATGAGTATGCAGGGCGTACTCGACCAGGTTGGGCCTTCTTGGATTGTGGACTTTTTGGGCTTTGGACCTTGGACCAGGAGTTGACTAGGGTTGACCATTCCGTATTTTAGGCCTTTTTGGACATTGGGCCTTCTTGGGTTAGGTCGATAATGGACTTGGGCCTTATTGGGCCGTGTGGGCCATTTCGAGATCGGGCTTTCTTAAGGGCTTGTAAGTGCATGGATTTTGTTGGACCAGCTAAGGATGTATGTTTGGATTGGGAATAAGTTATTGGGCTTAAGGGTAAAGCCCATGCAAGGGTTTGGGCCCAATTTAGAAAATTGGGCCATTAGTGGGCTTATATGGATTTTGGAGTTTTGGACTTGTTTGGTTTTGGGCTTAGGCCTTAGTTATGAATCTTGTTGGGCCAGGGGTAAAATGGTCATTTTACCCCAAGTATGGATTATGGATCATGGTTTGGGACCCAATTTCTAATTGGGTGATATTTTGGTATTGATAGTTCGAGGAGTTGCCAGGGCAGCATCTAAGGATTTCTTATGTGAACTCCAGCAGTGTGAGGTGAGTTACCTTCCCGGTATAAGTGGGTTGAAGGCACCAATGTCGGCCCACTAGTAGTTGTTTATAGTTGAGATGATTGTCTTCGTGATAATTGTCTGGTATGCCACTATCTGTTTAGGTTTATGTGCTTGTATGCTATGTTATTACGTGGTAGTGGTAGGGGTGTAGTAGACCCCATAACCGGTCGAAAGAGACCGAAGGGGTAAGCCAGCACCCAGATATGCTAGGTAGTATGTGTTTATGTGCTTATATGCTAGGATATTATGTCGTAGTGATAGGGGGTGAAATAGACCCCGTAACCGATTGAAAGAGACCGAAGGGGTAGGCCAGCACCCAAATATGCTAGGCAGTTACCGGTTGAAAGAGACCGAAGGGGTAGGCCAACACCCTGATATGCTAGGCGGTTACCGGTTGAAAGAGAACGAAGGGGTAGGCCAGCACCCTGATATGCTAGGCAGTACCGGTTGAAAGAGACCGAAGGGGTAGGCTAGCACCCGGATATGCTAGGCAGTATGTTTATTGTATGATATGTGGTATGATGGGGGAACTCACTAAGCTTCATGCTTACGGTTTTCAGTTTTGTTTTCAGGTACTTCTTCTTCAAAAGGAAAGGAGCCGGCATGATCGCAACGCATCACACTATGATTTCCGCATTATGAGATCTTTGGGAGTTGTACCCTGATATTACTTTTCTATGACATGATTTGGGTTATTTGAAATACTGGTTTTTGATTATGAAATGAGTTGAAACTATTGATGTTTCATGCTACTGGTTTTTATAATTACTTATTTATAAATGAATTTTTTTGGCTCTAAATTTTTGGATGTTACAAGTTGGTATCAGAGCCTTGGTTAGAGGGATTCAGACACACCTTTGGGGTGTCTGGACTCAAATCGAGGGTTTGAGAGATTTTTACAAGAAAAATAATTTTTCTAAAATTTTAAATTAAGGGTTTTTTATAAAGAACAAGGAGTGTGATTCGTGCAATCGGTCGGGCTCAAGTAAGTTTTCCCCAAGATACCCATACATGTTATATTGTGATATGAAGTATGAATATGTGAATTGCATGCTAGATTAGGGCTAAGGATCTAGGAAGGATGCCTTGCATGCCTATTGTATGTGCTTATTGAACTGCATGCTAGTGCTGATTAGTCAGTGGTAGGATGGCCTGTTTAGGTTATGCCTGATTGTATGAGCCTTAGAACTTCACGCTAGTATAAATTCCTGATAAGAGGATAGAATGGCTTGATGGAGTATGTTGGTTAGATTTTCCATTGTCTGAATGTTGCTTGCTTTGTGCTTTGTGGGACTCTTAGCAATGTGAGCTAGCTACTAAGTGAATATGCTAAGGCACATGTGGCATGGGCTGGATAATCTCAGAGTGATGGAATTGGCCCTATTGTGTATCTCTTGTTTGAGTCCAACTGTGACAACCCGTTATTTTCGATATTGTAAAAGTCAACCAAAGTCAAACTTGGGTCAAATAAAGTCAAACTTATTGTTTTGATCTATCTTATTAAGTTATATTTAAAATCTATATGTGTTCAAAAGCCTTAAATTAGAAGTGTTGCTTAACTTAGAAGTGTAGTGCTTAATCCGAGAAGTCTCGCATGGGCTGTGAACCTTCGGACCGCAAACCCTCGGTTCACAGCCGAGAACTC